AATTGGAAACTTCTATGTGTGCCTAGCCATGATGTCCCAACCATTTGTCACTGTCACCAGAGGAGGAGTCAATGAGGCTCCCCAATCTTGGTCTTCAAGCCACCAAAACTGTGAGCTAAATCCACCTCTGTTCACGTGTATCCAGTTTTAGGTATTTTATCATAGTGATGACTAACCCACTACAGTATACTTTTTATTGCTGTCTTGGAGAACACTCCTATTTGCAAAAAATATATTGTCATGCAGTCTGCTGTGTCACACCAGCAGACGCCTCATACATCCTGTGTCTTGAGGGATTTACCTAGACCAGCTAGGTTTGGTAAGTATACACAAGGATTTTTATAAAACAACAACACTGACTAATAACACAACAATAAAATTCCCTAATGACATATTTCTAAGAATGTACTGCTGTCACTGAGTACCCTAAACTTTCAAGAGAAAAGTCTTCCAGGTTCTTCTAGATTGAAGAAATGTATAGGGTGTTGCATTTTTAAAATACTGACTGAGTCTATACAAATGATCAGGACAAGGAAAGAGAAAAAAGATTTGATAACTCAGTTCACAGAAGTTATTTTAATAGTGTGCACATGGCTGGTGGATAGAGTATTGTTTCTGGTCCCTTGTGCCCCAGAAAGGCCAGAAGCACAAAGGAACGTGCGAACAAGTTGTCCAGCTCTGTTGTGTAGATATGGGCATTGACACTTGTGTTGAAACTTTGCAATTAATTGTAATAATTTTGACCTATCACCAGTCTGTAAATCATGGCCAACTGTGCTTGGAAGATACATTCGAGAAGGATCTGTTAGGGGATGGTAAACTCACATATGTACCTCTTGCTACTCCTACAGACTTCATCACTCCACTTCCCCTGAGCTGACTGGGAGAACAGGACACAGTTCTCCTTCTTGCCACCGTTGGGCTGTGCACGGTCCCAGTGGAGGAAGGAGACAGCCATCCCATTGACATCGAGAAACTTGCCTTCTGTGGCCATATCATTGATGCCCAGCCAGAATTCATTGACTCCGGGCAGGCTCCTCTTCCCATAGTCTTGGAGGGCATTGATTTCGTCGGAGTTCCTGGGGACAACCAGGATGCCCCCCTTGGAAATACAGTCTTCATTGGCTTCATGGAAATGCTTCAGGTCTTCTGAAGCAAGGTAGCATTTCTTGTGAAATTTTGTGCCTCGGAGACAGACTGTGGAGATGTGAAATTTGATATGTTAAGATGTCCTTTGAGTGTAATATGCCTATTACTAGAGCTGAGCAATTATGATAACTATTTGTGGAATGAATGATGTGTGATGATGATAATGAGTTAATATTTATTATTTTGTATTTACCGAACCCTGTGCTAAGCATTTTGCATAAGTGAACATATAAAATCACGGTCACATCATGTGGTGAGAGTTTTTTAGCACCATTTATCAGGACATTGAGGCTTAGAGAAATTGCCACTTGCAACAACTTAGCATGTCAACTTAGCATAGCCTACAGAGAATGTAGACTCACATTTACACATATCCAAGTCTGTCCCACCCTTGAAACACGATGTTAAATCTCATGGGCTGCTTTGATATGCACACGGATCCTAGTTTATTTACCTCTATTATGTGCTGAATTTCCTTGGGAATTTTGGAATTGGATGGCATTTCACAATTATTTTTTAAAAAATAACAAGAAAACCGAAGTCCAAGTTCGTTATGTAGAGAGGCTATGAGTTTCCTAAGCAGATAGCTAAGACCTGGCAGGGAAAAGCCATGGAAAATCAGGCTCCAGCACAACCATGCCTGGTGTTGGGTCTCCTCTCTGATGCTTTGTTTGTTGTGCAATCCTTATACATTTTTTCTCATTGGTGAAATGAGGGTAATCATGATAGCATAAATTATTGGAGGAGTCAATATTTGTAGTTGGAGGATTAATGTTTATGATGTACTTACTGTATTAAAATATGGATTGAGGTTAATGAAACTCCCTTTTAGCACAAATATTTCACCTTACTTTTAACTTTCTAGTCTGTACCCTTGGAAACCTGATAAAGAAAATATGTCACCCATGTTACTAGGTGGCAATGTGCATGGTAAAAGTGACCCTGGGATGGTTACATACATCCGAATTATAAGTACTTAATGGAAAGCTGTAACTTCACTCTTCCTTGAAGGTATTAACTTGTATTGTGGGGACCCTTACTCTACTTTTGGGGCTGGCTTCAGGGATATTGGTGCCTGGGGTCTGGAGCTGTGGCTGTTTTGGAGCTATCCTGGTGTACTCTCATTTCCTTACCCCTTGGAGAATACTCATGGACGGCAGTGTCCACAACTACATGGGCTGTGGGTATTCTTTTTCCAAAGCAAAGAACACTGGGTGCAACCCTAGGTCCAGGCAGTATCTTAACCAATTTTCTATGTGCTTTGAACCAATAAAGTATGGCCTGGGAGAATCTTGTGACCCTGTCTCAGTTGAATCTCAGTAGGTCTCCATATGGCACTTAGTTAATACTTTTAGCCTTTAATGAATGTCTTTTACTCTGTTTAACTACTTATTAGGGAATAATTATCCCCTGACCTTAAAAACACATTGTTGAAGTGCCTCTTTTATTTCTATACCACCATCTATACAGAATGGGGTGGCAAGTCAAGCTGATGTCCCAACAAATATAATCCCCCAGTTTTTGGGTCCTTTCACATGGACACATATCTGGTTTATTAATATTTCTCCTAAAGAGATACCACCTGCAACTGAACATGTAGACTAGATTCATTTAAACCATTGCTAGCGACCAGTTCCCCTTCAGTGCCTCAGGAGAAGGCATTAATGGGTGCGGCGGGCGTCTCACCTGTCTGAAGGGCTTGCATCTCCTTCAGCGCATTAACTTCTCTCCAGAGCTTTTCAACTTGAGACTTCAGATCTCCATCCTTTTCTGGGAGGTGTTTAAGAGTAGAGTGGGGTAGGTGGGAGGGAAAGCAGATGATTACAATAAAATTAAACTTAAAAATAGAGTTGGGTTGTAGCATCCAAGGCAATAGTGACTTTGATGAGACTGAACCAAGTGTACATGAAAAATAATGCATGCAGTAACTTAGGTAGAAAAATTCATGAGGGCTTTGTGGAGCTCTCACCCCTTGGAGCGCCTACTGTGGAGTAGAGGCCCTGCCCACCTCTCCAGCCCCATTCTGAGGGATGCCACAGGTTCACCTACTGTCAGAAAGTGAGCAACCTTGGCCTTATCATATTTCTAGAGCTGATGGGAACTCTCAACAGACTGGTGTCTTGTGGGCTCTTTGAAAGTAAGAATTAAAATTAATTATAAAAAATAAAATAAAAAGATATTAACAGCTACCCTCTCCCTTCTGCCAGGAGGTCAATTCTTTCAGTATCCGCATGAGGCAGATGCTGTGCTTAGCTCTACTTTACAGAAGCAGAAATAGAGGGACCAAAACTAAACCAGTGTGCCACAGGCCACTCAGCTAGAAAGGTGCAGAGCTGGAGGTGAATTTCCTGAGCCTGTTCTCTTCCCATTGCTGCTGTCTGCTTCTGCACAGTGGTTGGCTCTACTCCCTTGGTCCCAGCATGTGGCTTAGATAGAGTAGAGGCTTAAGGCTTGATATGAACTACCCCAGCTATCTCTTTGTGGTAACGCCATATAGAAAATCTGGATTTTGCCCAGGATTTTTCAAGAGTCTCAAATCTGAATGTACTAATTCATTGTCCCTATAGAACACATGCTTCACAAGCAGGGTGTTTTTACATTTAAGTTGGGAAGCTCCCCAGGATGGCTCCAGCTGGGTTTTACTTAATCTTATACATAAGTTCTTAAAGCATCCAGTGGCTCAGCTCAAAAGTGCAATAGCTCAAAGATTTTCTTGACAGGACCATTACAATAGGAATAAATAAAAAGGTGCATTTGGAATGTAGAAGCCCTAGCTGTTGGGGCCAGGCTTGCAAAAGCTGCTGAAAACTTGCTTCCAAGCTAAATATCATCCCCCACCCAGCTCAGCTTCTTGCTCCATTTTATTCAAGTAAGTGGCCTCTGCTGGGAGATTGTAAACATTGGAATTAGCATGAAGACACACGAATTAGTATTAGGCTCTTGGGAGACCATTACGGAAGTCATTATCAGGGTGACTTGGCTTCCAGCTCCCATGCTTTGTTGGTAATGTGGAGGAACAAAGGGAATATATTGAACAACAATTTTACTCTAAAAGTTATATTTTATTCATTAGCACAATATATAGTTTGTTGAAACCTATGAAAAGTACCAGGGAAATTCTGTCCACGGAGTTAAATCACTCAGTTGCTATTGGGAGTCTCTGAAAAGTTCCCTTTTACTTCATGATGGTTGTTATCCAGAATTAGATGCAATATAGAAATGCAAATGAATTTACTAAAAGAAACAACCAGTAGAACAGTGATAGGACGTTGGGTTAACCCTGTGTGGGAATGGTCATTCTTATCCGGGACATGGGGCCTACATGAGTGTCATCACTGGAAAAATAATTGAAGAGTCTGATTAACTCACAATTTTACTTCTAAAAAATGTATTATGCCATCCTAGTGTGAGGATCTATCTGTGTGTACAAAGCAAATCCTTGGAGATATTGCAGCAGAAAGAGATGTATTAGAAAGCACACAGAAACACTTGCCAACAGAAAACAGATTAAGTCACAACTGGCCCAAACAATGGAATAGATTCCAACTGCTAAGAGGAATGAATACATCTTACATTGATAGCTGTCCAAGATTCAGTAGAGGAAATAAATTCATTTGTTAAATATTTCACATAGCCAGTCCAGAACTCTTATCGCCCAATAGTTAATAGTGAATAATAGTGTGCGACGAGGCTTGGGAGAGGAAAGATGTGCACTCCTTTGATTTTATATACTTTGGCACTATTTTGAAGTATTTAAATGTGATAAAAGTGTGTAATTTGGATAAACAGTCTAGGAAAACATAGGCCATACTTCTATAGAGTCTACTTTCTTGCTGTTATGGTTTGTGTCTAATTGTCCTCCAAAAGCCTCATGCAGTCATGGGGCAGACTTCTAGAGTTTGTGATTAACTCATGATCCATTGGGATTATGGGTGTGAGTGCTGCTGGGATTATGGGTGTGAGTACTACACCCAGCCTTGGGCACATAGCCTGAATGCAATTTAAGGGAAACAGACTTCCTCTCTGTTACCTCTGTTGCCATTGTTGCCACTACTTCTCCTTTTGCTTTTTTGCTGCCTTCTGCCACCATGAACTGCCGCCCTTTGCCATGTGCCAGTCTGCCTTGGATCCAGCTGAGTATGGACTAGAACCTCCAGTAACTGTGAGCTAAATAAACCTTTCCTTCCTTCATTTTGAATGTCAAATATTTGTCCCAGAAATGAAAGAAGAGTAATTGAGACACTTGGATTTAATAGCAAAGATAGTTTTGGAGAGGTAATACTTAAGATGTGTATACAGTGGGGTTGGGAAAAGAGAACATGGGCTGTAGCAGCAGAGGTTGGAGAGAGACGGAGAGAGAGAGAGAGA